AAAGTGTCAATATGAAATAAAATGAGATCTTTCAATAAACTCTGATTGTGAAAAGGAGGATAAAAATAACATTGTAATAATAAAGAGCTTTTAAAGGTTTATTTAATAATTTCCACAGTATCAGTGTTATATATTTTGTCTGTTTTAGTATTGAACACTTTTGACCTCCATAGATTTTGGTATCTTGTTACTTGTGACATAAAGATTTTGTATGCAGCATTTAGCTTCATGTTTATTTTACCATATCACTGAAATGTTAATAATTAAAAGTTTAACCACTTTGTGAGCCAAAAACAAAACATTATATTTATCATTGGAAGTAACAGAGCCCATGTGTCAATTTTTGTGTGTCAGAGTTTATTTGCTTTCTTGATACCACTCTTTAGCTTAGCACAAACACTGGGAACAGGTGGAAACAGCTAGCCTAGCTCTGGACGAGGTATCCACTTAACAGCACATTGAAGTGTAAAAAGGACAACTTCTGAGGAACAAAGAGACACTCCAGGAAGTATTCGAACCCACCCAAGAAATATAACACAGAATTAATTCATTTTTAATTTAAGCAAAAACTTGTAACTTTCTGTGGTTCCTGCTTCTCAAATGGGATTTGTGGATTTCTTTGTCTTATATGATAGTATAAGACTATACTGGGTTAACAGTCCAAAAATCTGTTAATTTTGCAATGATATGAAAGATAAAATCAGTAAATCCTCATATTTAATAAACTTGAATCAAAGATTGTTTTGGCATTTTATTTGATAAATTACTCAGAATTGTTCTTTAATCTACAAATAACTTTCAGCCATTTGAACACATTATCTTATATTATCTTGTGCTTTGGCATTTTTTAGTTATTAATTAGTTTATCAATCCAAAAGTTGCAGCCGTAGTGTCAAACTGCTTCCACAGAGGACGTTTGGATGAATCTTAGCAGAGAAGTCTTCCCACAGAAAACCCTCCAGTATTTTCTCTCAGCCTCTAAATTGACTTGTGTCTCTGACCCCATCACTTCCTGTGTTTCCCCATTTCCCACAGTTCCCAGCACCTTGCCTCCCAGTTTGAGCTACAACACTGCAGCTCTCTCTCTGCTATGAAAGAGCCCTTTACCTCAACCCGTACTGTAGATTTTACCAATGCAGAGCTTCCCCAAGTGGATCCAAGCGATGTCCCAGGAGACAGTCTATTTTCTGTTGGCTGGAGTTTCCTCCTTCGTCCATGAACGGGTTGATTATGTTACAACTGGAGAGCTTGTGTCCAGTGTCACGTTATGAAGGTCTGAATTGGAGATTGTTGTAGGTGTTTAGAGAAAACTGCTCAATACTGACAAAACCTCATGACCTGATGGCGTCTGCTCAGTCTGTGACCGTCACAGACTGTTTGTTGCCTCTTTAACAGCTCTAAAAAAACTTGAATAGTTGTTGACATATTTCCTCCCTGGACCACACATGGCTGCAAATGGTTAAATATGACGGACTTTAGCTTGAAAAAGGTGATTGATTATCAAAATAGTTGTCAATCAACTAATAAATTAACTTTCTGAGATCTGACTAGATGCTATATTATATTATTATATATAATATTAATATATTTACATTAGTTAAAGAACTTATTCCCTCCCCGACTCGTTCATCCAAAAACATGAGGACAAATTTGAACATTAACCTGAATAAAAAATCATAATATTCTTTCTCAATGTTATTACTCTGTTGTTAGAGTGTCATTACATTT